TGGAACATGAAGAAAGACTGCCAATAAGTGAAAACTGCTGGAGTGTGTGCAGCAGTTCTAAGCTCACCGTCCTGCGACTCCGATGAACTTATGCCAAGCTCTCGTCTCTATCGCCGTGACTGACATCATCAAAGCGAGAAAGCATACTTTACGAAAAAAAGCACCAGATACAACAGGACAATCACCAAATTACTATGTCAAACTCTATGATCGTACAGAGGAATCCCGTGATTTGTTTGACTATTCAATGTCCAGCTTCCTTTTTAAAAAAGGAGGAAGTTGATACAACTTTTCATGCCCCAGGCTACCTTATTTTCTTGGCATAGCATAAGTTCATCGAAGTAGCATGTTGGTGAGTTGAGGACCTCTTTGCACAATCCAGTAGCTTTCACTTTGCGGAAGTCCTCCTTTCGATTTCAGTGAGACAAATTCATGAATTCTGTCAACTGAAATTTTCTTCGAAATGGAAATTCATGTCATAATCAAATACTCAGGAACTCTTCGAAATTCATTATTTTATGTTTATGGGAAATGACAATAACAATGACAATTCGTCTGCAGGTATCCTAGCTCTTAACAACCAGACAATACCGTCATAATGTTGGAATAAATACCCACGGGAAAGCTTCCAGTCACTAAGAGACCCTTTCTTAGCGGAGCAAAGCTGCTTTTCTTCTAAAGCTATCTCCCTACCTACTAAAACTTAGTGGAAAATATTTTTTTACATGAGATGTATTCACCCTATTTGGTTTAAGGTGAGGAAGAAAATTGGTAGTTGAATTTTCCCACAATCTTATGAGTAGACATTATGTTTTCCTTGAATTTCACATAGATTTGCTTCCCAAAGGGTGTTCTCATCCAGGGTCAACTGCAGGTTTGACCTCCCATAAGTAGCATCAGCACCCTCAGCTGGACTCGAACCATTGTAGTGATGTGTTTCATCTCAATACGCTAACAACCACGACACTGTCACAAATGTCCTTGCCTAATATGGTATATGTGACTTTAAAGGTTGTCCAGTCCATTTTCCATATCGCATTTTGTGGTGGGATTGTCAATAAAGCAACGTTGCATTTACTATAGCCGTCAATTACATTAATTACTTTTCGTTTTATAAGTAGGTTTCGAGTCTACTAGTAGATCATAAATATAAGGTGTATTCATCTTATTCATATTATTTTGGGAAAACTTTGCTACCAGTCCTTCATCATCTTAGGCGAAATAGAAACTGCATTACACCCTGGATGAGAATAGCTTTTGGGAAGCAAGGATATGTGAAATTAAATGGAAACTTTAGGTGGTTGTGGGAAAATGCAGCCGCCAGTCCTTCATCCACTTAAACGAATTAAGGCGAATATTTCTCAAATAAATATGAACTATCGACAGTCTTGAAGAGCTATTTATACACGAAACAAATTTTGTCTATTTACTTATCAGGCAGTGTGAAAAAATTAGGATAAGTAAAATTTTAGCGGCAGCTTTGGCGAATGTAGCAATAAAAATACTGATGCAGACTATTATACTTCGCAAAATTGACAAAGTTTTTCGCTTCAAGACAAAGTCATGCCCAACTTTGGTGGCAAGTCAATCATATCTCTTAGTCCAAATGCCCAAAAGGTGTTTACTTTCTTCGAATTGATCGCCCACTGATGTCCACCGAAAGAGTAACACCTTAAGAGGTAAGGAAAACTGAATACTACCTTGAGTAGACCTGCTTTGAGCCAAGAAAATGCAAGGTTGAATTGGACGAGTGAAGAGGAAAACTTTCGTAATTAAACACGCTGAACTATCATGGTTCGAGTCCCGCAGGCGGTTTTGATGGGACTTAGACGAGATCAAGAATGCAGTCCATTTCCACTTGAATGGAATAGCTTTTGGAAAAGCAAGGCTATGCGAAATCGAATGAAAACGTCAGTACTACTCAAATGAGTGAGAGAATGCAACTACCAGTCCTTCATAACCTTAAACGAAATAGGGTGAATAGATACGCTACCAAAGGCTTGTAGCGGATCATGATCAACAAAAACGGTGACTGGAGCCGAGGGAAATCAGCAAGCCAGAATGATGGGAAACGAATCTCTGGAGGCATGAGTGAGCTTCGAAAAGGAAGTCCAAGTCGGATCAGCAATTCCAACAAATCAAGAGGCAGTCATCATAACGGCTATGGCATATGTCATCGGACAAGACGCGTCCAACTAGGTCGCCTTGACAACACGACTGAGTTGCTAAAACCACTTCAGACTGCGACCAAAGCAGAGCTCACAACATCTTGGTCTTCATATCTACAAGTTCCTTCAATCTGACCAGTTAAGCAAAATAGACCTGTAGGCACAAGTCAGGAAACTTACCCAATGGTTGCTATGAGACAAATAAATAGAGAAAAATACATGATAGAGAAAGCTGCTCCGCAGGCTCTATTGAGCGATATTTTTTCTATTTATTGTCGTTTAGCGCGACGTAGAACTGCACATTTTAGCCTCATTTCACGACAAGCTCAAAACAATAACCAAGTTCATATTGACTCTGAAAGTTTTATGGTTTGAAGTCAGCAAATAAGACCATGACATTTTCAATGAATCTAGTACAAAATGAAGATAAAGGCAATCTGAAATAAGACAAAATTTACATAAAAAGTTCCGGTTAAGGATTAGTGAAGAAAACACACGACCAATATTCTTCTGTATACCCAACACGTAAAAACAATCACACATTCGCACACATGCACATACAATTTCACGCATGTTCTTTCCCATAAATTCTCTCGCACAAGCAGACACATACACACTTACGAATAGGCATAAGTATGCATATGCATTGGAGCCTAAAGCTCCAATTGCCACGACAACACTCTTGTGACCAAGCCTACACTCATGCATATGAACATACAAACACACGTATTCGTTGGCCTTTCACGATCCGGCAGAAAAGGTCACCCCCGAAAGTACACCGGCAGAATGTGGTCCCCTTAAAAGAGAGAGAGGGCACATCTACAAAGGCATACCTGATCATACAAATATCACACCCAGGCATGTATATACTCTTTGGAAGATGGATAGCTATCACAACATACACACACATACACACAGTCAAGCAACACACACAACAAACACATGCATGTGGCAAATGCTGACAGTCGAAGTGACCGTCAGTGCTGGTCATATGTAGTCCAAGTTGAGATTGGAAGAGTCTATTTCTTGCAATGCAATGTCCATCTCCTCGTCGAAGGCCACCTCATCAATGTCAAAGTCGCCCTCGCCACCGGGTGTGACTCGTGTGATCGCCTCTCTCGGGAGGACACAGTTGGGCTCCGATCGCGCCCTCAAGATGAGGTGGGCCACGTTGGTGAGTCGCAAGTCGTCTGGAAATCGGATGATTTTCAGCGAGGTCTGTGCATTCTTCCGGCCCACCTTGATCGCCATCATACAGGGTGCTATTGAAAACATGAATATCTCTTGAA